ATCTTGTGAAATAGGCCAAAGAGCTAGGTATGATCCCCCATCCAATAGTGTTCAAGATGGACTTCACAGCACACTTATTTGTATCGTGCTCTCTGTCTTCTAAGGATCTGATCAATTCTAGCACGCCTTCCGTCTTCCCAAGCAATTCAACACATAAGGCAGGCAGAAATAAAACTGTAAAAAGGGCTATTATAGTTTAACCTTCATGTGCCAAAACAATGGAAATTCCTGCATCTATCCCATTCCATTTTAATACTTCCAAGATTAATTCATGAACTCTTGTCTGCCATGTGCTTGCTAAATATCCAACCCTGCGTAGTAGAGGAGGAGAGTTAATGGGGGAGAGGTTGGGAGATCCACTCATGACCAGCATTCAGTGTCAATGCCAAAATGACACCCTCTCTTAATATGTGAAAAATGTACATTGTGCATTCAAATGTGTAGGCTCCTCCTACACCCATCCCACCCCACCCCACCCCATGCCATCAGTTTAACTGTATATCCTCCAGGCTAATTTTGAACACGGTTTTTAACAAGGACTAGAAGCTCTTGGTGCATGTCTGTATTTTCCTGTCACTATCACTAAGCACACTGGCCCCCAGGCAATAAGCCATAAATGTTGTGGAATGAAAAAGAAATATCTCTATCAAAAGAATGTATTATCTTTTTTAAATGATATAATTTCCCATTCCAGTGACAGTTTACAATTTCACACACATACACAAAAAACACGCTGTGACATTTTGACGTGGCATTTGGGCATATGGGAAAAGAGAGCATCACATTTTCATGTCCTAAACTTGTTTTTCAGTGACAGACTTTGTCCTAGAGGAGTACTATTTATGATCTAATAATTACATTTTGTAAAAAACGTATGTTAGAAATTCAAAGAGAAAGAATCCTTTTAATGTTAGCTTTAAAGCTAGTAGGAATCTTTAAATCCATATAAAAATATTGTAAATGAGAGATGTTAGTAATAAGGAGAGTTTGCCATTTTTTCTGGTTAGTTTAGTTATATTTTAGACATTCTTAAGTCAGTTCCATAATAACAATGTCACCAGAATCACAATACATGTTAATTTACAGTATAAAGCAAAGGAAAAGTTAGGATGCTCTGTATCTTACTGGACTTTGGAGGCATATGAGATTGATTTGGGTATTTTAAAATGAATAAAGTAAGAATAAGCATACTTAAGCAAAACACTCAGGAGTCCCACATTCCAGTATATTGTCAACTTCTCCAACTCAATGTCTTTTGTTGCCTGAAATGAATTCAGGAAGAGAAATCAGCATTCCTGAGGAAGGTGAGGGAGCAGAAATAAAAGCGAAGGCGCTGCTAAGCAGGTTGCAAGCCTGGTAGTGGCTCATTAATAAGAGGCTTCCGGTCTGTTAGGACCGCTCCCGCGCAAAGCAGCCTCCCAGCCCTGGGGAGCCCTGCCGTCGGCATTAGGAAGAGGGAATGAAGATTTCTTTTCCAAATTAAGTTGTCAAGGAGCTCGTTTACAGTACATAGTGAGTTTATGTGGGTGAGCTGATGAAAATGATGATTTATGATGCTATAGACACTTAAGTAATTCTCGTGATGGAAGTCCACAGCAAAATTCAGTTAGGAAGATAAAACAGAGCTCCTATCATCTGTGGGAGGTGAAACCACACGGCTTTTACCCTTACAAATTCCAAGTTACCCTACTGGTTTTGGGAATGGAAGGGAAGCTCATTTCATTTAGATTTCATATTTTGGTGTAATGTTATTATATAGACTCACACGGATGCCATTTTTTTAAGTTTATATTCATTTAGATCTATGAATGAACAGGAAATTTTGATGAATACTTTTTCAAAGGAATTTTGACAAGACTTTTTCTTTTTCCTTTTTTTGAGTGGGTGAGGACTGGATCTGACCAATCACATCATGGGTAGCTAAATGTGAATGAATTATAGCCCTCCATTGGCAAAGGCAGTAGATATAATTTTTGGTGAAATATGTCTGCAAAAATTACATTTCAAAAGGCTAGGCAAATATATAAATAGACTTGATTAATGATTGTGGCCAGCATCAGTTAATGTCTTCACAGTGTTATGATCTTTAAAAAAAGGTTCTGAGCATGAAAAATGTAAAATGATAAAACCGAAATGGAAATCATATTTTCACTTACTTCAGTACATTTCATGTGCTTGCTCCTTAAATGCCAAGAAAAGTAATTTTAAGAGTCTCAAGAGAACTTATAGGCTTGATTTTTAAATTTTAAAATACGTTTGTAATATCCCATTTTAGTAGCAAAGTGTCAGCTTTAGAAATAGAGTTCCAATGACAAATAAATTCCTACATAAGCTAGATAAAGGAGCAAAAACTCATTGCAATTCTATGGTTATTCCAGTTTTACATTTTCACAAGTGTTTTTACAGAATGCACAGTAAAAGCTTTAGAGTGATTCAGTGTAATCTGCTCCGAGTTCCATCATTTATTTACACCATCTTAAATATAACAGAACCTTTAATTCATGTGCATCTATGTATTAGATTATTATATACTTCCTATGCTGTAGAAATAGAAACATTAACTATTTATTCATGGCAACATTATTGCAATATTTATTTCCTTATAAAAGATTGCAGAATTACGGGGATGCAAATTGACAGAACATTCTTTGCTGCTTTTGCGATGCAGGAGGCATGCTGGAGCAACCCATGCGTTTGTTTTGATTCTATAAAGTGATTCATCAGATTTCTCTTCTAACATATTTCTAGATTCCGGGAGAATGTAACCAATCTATGTATTTTATTTTATATCACTCTGATAAAAATCAGGTGTATCTGTTCATGTAGGTACAGGTAAACACTACATATGCTATAGTTATGTATGTGACTTGATATCAAGGAAATAGTACAAATAAAATTATAGATTCAATAAAGGTTTTGGTTTGCTATGTGTATCTTTTATAACTTTTCTGATGCTTGATATCATTAGATTTAGCTGCAAAAAAAATTTTCAAATTAAGTAAATATATAATCTCTACAGTGTTCCATTAGAATTTGTCCATGCCAATATTCAGTAGGCTTCATCACCTTTGCTGTAAGCAGCCATACTAAGTACAAACTTTAAAAATGTGAATAATTTCATTATACATGAATACAAAAAATATCAGAATGCAAAAAAGGGTCAGAAATTACAGATGATAAATACACTTTCTTAGACCTGGGGTTGAATTATCAGGGTTGTGTTTAAAATTAGAATATATTTAAAGTTAAAAAATAGTATTGTTTTAAAAGAATTTACAGTTTCTAGGATTATCATTTATCAACTAGACCAACTTGTTTCACTTGTGTTAAAAATGTTCTAGTTGTGTATTTCTATAAAATGTTGGTATTACATACTGGAACAGAAAGGTGGGCTTTGAGCCCCAAGGGGTAGTCAAATAACATAATTGAGAACTGAGTTAATATGAAAATATATAGATTTTGATGTGTTCATTTTACCATCATTCTTTTAAATCAGATTTCCATACAGTGCTACAGTTTTAATAAGATATTCAAGAATATGGAAATTTACTTTCACATAAAAATGTCATCCTGTCATATATTCATTTTAAATATTTCTCATAAATGTCAGACTGAAAAAATCTGATTTTCCAGAAACACCCACCCTACCCTATAAAGCCTGTTTTCAGGTTACTTTGCGGTTGGTTCCCTGAGCACTTCCGTGCGACCCTCCCAGCAGCCAGGTGGGGTGTTCAGAAAGTGCTGGTGTGACTGTCCTGCTCTGTGGATGGGAGAACTGGGGCTCAAGCTGGGGCTCTGTGATCGGGCGACGGATAGCGTAGATGGGGCTTTCTTTTCCCAATTAAAGGAAAATGTATTTCCAGTTTTGATCTGTCCTATATTTTTACAGCCCACACACAGCAGCTTCATCTCACTCAAGATTCTTAGCCAAACAGAACCTTGGCAGATGCTGCAGTGAGTGATAAAACTTTTGGAACACTAGGCCCTGCTTCTCCCTAATGTCAGTTTTGGCATCTACCTCAAAAATAATAGGAGTGGAATAAACAGGATGCAGCTTTTTTCCTAATAAAAGCTACTAAAATATACTTATTTTTAGACTGGTTCATTTAGTAACTGTATAACTGTAAATATATGTATGACCTGTACATACATACAAATATGTGTACTACATATAAGTAAACAATACAAATAAGGGCTCTTGTATCTTTCAATCTCTGAAGTGCTTTGTCCCCTAATGAGGTTTGCTATTTGTTTGAAATTGAGCAGGTTAGTAAAATAACAGAAAGGGGACTAAATAACTAAGGGTGATAAAACACGAAAGAGATGTTAGCTAACATCCTGCTGTTTATGTCCTTAGCATACATAAACGATGGTCATGCCTAGGAGTGTCAGTCCCCTAACCAGAGTCCCAATATCCCAAATGCTTTTTGGTTGATATTTCTTGATTTTATTTTTCCCTATCAAAATAGATCCCATTATGCTCTGCACCACAGGCCAGTAAAACTTAGACCATTAGTCAAACTATATTTTTTCATTTATAAATCCCCACTGCATTTCTTATTTGAGAATGAAACCCAGTGCGTGCCCATCCTCACACCTATCTCAGAAACAACTGATGCTATATTCAAATGTTCTTTTCTCTTAGATTTCATTTAATCAGTTCTCTGATTAAAATACTGACTTGAATTTGCAGCACATTGTGGGTTATCGATGACAAAGCAGATTGCCTATCTATAAACCCTTTTCAATGCCATCTCTTCACACAGTATCTCAAAAAAAATCTTCCATTGTAAAAAATATGTATGTATAAATTGAAAAGTCTATAAGTGCACAAATTCATTTAGATCCACAGCTAGATCTGCACACAGGGGTGTGTACTTGTGTGTGTGTTCAAAGAGGCACAGTATGCATTTCTCTGTGTTCCCCAAATCCTTGACCCTTGGCGTTTACTTACACACATGTTAAGAGTTGGGAGACGATGTGAAGGGAGAAGAGCGAGCCAGACATCAAACCCATTTATTCTGAATCTTAAATTATGACTTTTATCATCAATATTTGGTTACATTGTTACACAAAGGACAAATTAGCATCCAGTTTGAGGTCTCTTCTTTGATTGCTTTGGGATCAGTGACATTTCCTTGGCATACGAATCCTGCCCCCGTCCACTCTCAGCTGTATATTAATAATATTGTTGTACAAGGTGGCAGAGCAAGGATTTCTGACACGCCTGCTAGCGCGCTGCTTCCAGTACTTCCAACCACTGTGACTGCCAGGTGGCTTCCCGCCAGGTGCTCCCAGGGGAGGGCCAGCTCATTCCTCGGCAGGTCAGCAGAGGGTCTTGAGGGAGGGTGGCTCTTGCTGGTGCCTTTGAGCACCTCATCCTGATGTGTTCACGCAGAGATGGATCCAGGTAAATGGGACCTGCTGCTGGGGAGATCCAGGCACCCTCAGCACAGAGACCGAGGGCTGAGGAGATGCGCTCATCACCCACCGTCCTCACCTTACCCCATTCAGGACGCCCAGCAGCACCAGGTTCTGGAAGTATTCCAGAGCGCACGTTAAAGAAAACCAGATCCAGGTTGTTAGCTCTGCAGGTGCGTCTGAGAGCATCTCTTTGAGAGAATAGGCAGAATCGTCCATTTGCCACCTTCCTTTTGTTTGTTGACAGCTACCTTTTGTTTCGTTGGGTCTCATGAAAACAAAATACACAGGTATTTTTCTTTGTTTTGTTTTGCTTGGTCTCATCTAGGAATTTAACATATATTTTCTCTCCCTGACCCAGCACAAAAAGTAAAAGTAGGGGTGAGGAGAGAGAGCTGAGTGTGGGAAAAAAATAAAGCTTTTGAGGGGAAAAAAACACACACAAACAATACAAAACAGAATTTGCAGTCCAATCGTGCAAAATTTGCTTTTCCGGATAAAGCACTTCCTGACAGGTTCACAATGTCCCTTCCCCTCGCGAGTCCTCCCATCCACCCAGGGGAAAAATACAGAAAGAAAGTGAAGCCATTCTCTTTTCTTAAGGCTGAACAGACACACAAAGAACACATTTCAAGGACTGTCCGACGGGTGGTGATCTGCAGGCTCCTTGCTTTGAGCCCTGCCTGCAACCTGCCGTCCATCCTGGGGTCAGCGGCCCTCCTCGCACTGAGGGGGCAACGATACAACGTACAAACAAGAGAAGAAAAGCCAATGTCCCAACAATAAAATCCAAGATTGACTTTACGATCACAGGTACAAATTGCTCAAATCAATCATTTCATTTCTCCTTAAGACCTTGTTGCCTAAAACTAATTAGAGGCCAGGTTCCCGAGGAATGGTCAGTATTCAAAGAAAATACTGGAGGTTTAGAAGGAAATCATTCTTCTACAGTAACAGTCCGACAGAGGCTGGAAACAAGGTGTCCTATTCTGGTAAGTTCAGGATGTGAGGAAGGGTGGATTCCTGGGTCCAGATTGCAACATGCCCACCATCCTGGGCTCTGTGTCTATAGCGGAAAAACCAGGAAGCCGGAGAACGTGGAGTACTTCCAGCCCCCCATGAGATTGCCCCTCTCCAGCTTGAGGTGCACTTTGTCCTCTCTTTCCATCAGCAGCAGGACGCCGTTGCTGGCAGCTTCTCTGGTAACGTCCTGGTCCCCTGCAAATGCTGAGATCACTGGGTAGCCGTTCTGCATTAAACTGACCTGCAATGCAGAGAGTAAAGCTCAGCAGACCACGGGGGACCCTGCTTCCACCCACTTGCTCTTCTCTCCCCGACTGCCCACCCTGCCTGTGGAGTCCACACTGGGGGCCTGGCCTGGGGACGTAGCCCCTTCCGAGTCCCAGGTCCTGGTCAGCCCAGTGCCCCAGTTCGCCAGCCTCTGGAGGCTGTGACAGGCCCTGCGGCAGTGAGGGGCTGTCCACCCAGTGCCGAAAGGATCCAGGCAGCTTTCAAAACTACCCACCTGGATGGTCTGTCGGTTGTACACTTTGACCACGTGGAAGCTGAAACTATAAATCCCTTTTCTCGGAGCTACAAATATACTGGAGGCAAGATCGAAATGGTTGCCAATATTTACCAGGACCTGAAAAAGAAGAGGGAATACAGCACACCCATACCAAGCCCTGGCTCAGCATATGCTTTCCCCCAACTGGCGAAACCAGGACCCTCATTTCTGTATGAGCTGCAGGCAGGGGCACCACCTCAGGTGCCAGAGATGCCCCAGGGGTGAGATGCTGGTGACAAGATACCCTGCAGAAGGAGCCATTCCAGAGGCAACCTAATGGGTGCCAACTAGTACAGGTTCTATAAGGTGTGTTTTATTTATGCATGAAGAAGTGAAGGCACATTTAGTATGTTGGGGGCAGAGCAGAGAGAAAGAAAGGGAAGACAACCAGGTCAGTGACAAACTGCCAATTGTGTCTGCTCAGAGAGTGTGGGGCTCCGGGGACTGGAACAGGGCCCTGCTGCCTGGCTGGGGTGGGGCTGAGGAGTAGGGGCCAATTAAATGCAAGAACTTGGGTCAGTTCAGGCTGGGAACCTAACCTCGTGTGCTCCGAGAAAGAAGGACAAAGCAAGACTTCCATCTCCATGCCTCCCCAGCCCTGGCACACTTCCAGGCAGTCCCCAGTAGGTGCTTGGCAACGGGTGCCAAGACCACAGTCAATAAACATTGGCTGTGCCTGCTTCTCCTCCCGTTCCACTGAGCAAGCATTTGCTCCATAGATGAGCTATGATGTCATGCAACTCAGCTTGAATCAATAGAGAGTGGGAACAGCAGCTTGCACACCCCTAGCTCCAACTGCAGGAATTCCACGCCATACAGGAACATGACAAAATTAGCCATGGGATATGAGATCATATGCCCCACAGGGGGACACGAGCGTTACAATGTCATAAGCAGACTTGGAAGAGGGGAGGGTCCCCCATTATGACCCAGGTGCCTTTCAGATGTGTGAGACAGAACACGGCCACCCTGTTAGGACTGTATTACCCCTCCCACTCACACACAAATGCACGACTTGATTAAAATAATTTTTTTTTAATGGCCCTCCTGGTGTTCTTGGCTTTTAAACCAAACAACAAGCAACAAAACCCTAGATTAGAGATCCTGTCATCTGTTCAGAAAATACATTTCAACAGAATACCTTTTGCTGGTATTTCCTACACACTCATTATAGAGGGGTGACATGCAATTCCCGAAGCGGTGAGCAGGGCTGCCCATAACGGCTGGGCTGTCTGGGGGACTAAGCCTGCCCAGCTTCAGCAGAGCTGAGAGCCACTTGAGCACCCACCTGCCTCCCACACACACCCCGGGGACTGCGGGGCACCCCCAGCCCCCCAGGCTCTGTTGTTAAAGGCATGTGCTTAAGAATGCCTTCTCTCAGATCTCCCAGGCTGTGCTGTGAGGCTGCCTTCCTGTGCTTTAAAAAAGCACAGAGGATTCTCCATCTAAGCCCGTAGAATCTGTTTCACTCAACTCCCCTTGAATCAATAGAGAGTAGGAACTACCCCAACTCTTTCACATCAGTTTCAAATTCAGGCAACTGGTAAATTCAGGGCCGGGCTGCAGACCAATGAACACCCCATCAGCCCCAGAGAAGCGGGGTTCAGTGCTCCGCTACTGGGGAGCCAGACGCAGCAGTGCCCCTGCCTGTGTCACAGTTTGCTCATCTGCAACATCAGAATCCTACTGCTCATCCCATCCTACTCACGGGGTTTTCTTGACACCCAAGAAGACATAAAAATGCTGAGAAAACTATTTGTAGGACATTAGGAGGTGAAAAAATAATAACACATAAAGAAGAACTTATTAGTAAAATAGTTACCAAATACCTATTTCACTGTTGTCTACCTTATTTGGACATAATTAAAAACTTCTATGTTTTATAAAAACCAGAACAGATTCAAAAAGACCCTCTCTCCCAAACAAAAACAAAACAAAAACTCTTCAAATACATAATCCTTAACAAGGACTCAAATAATGAATACACCGGCCTAAAAGGAGGCAGAGGTGTGTGGGGACGTGACCTCTCGGGAGGGAGAGTTGGTTAATAGAGAGAGGACATCCCTGTGCGCTGTGAGCCCAGGGCTCCATTGTGTGGGAGGCATTTTGGCAAAAGAAAAAGACCGAAGACTTTGGAAACCACTATAATATTTCCAGTTTGCTTCTGAAAAACAGCAGAAACCCAGGCGGGGGGAAGGTCACCACCTCTGATCCAGAAAGATTGCCGGACCTGATCATCTCCCAGCCCTTCTGCCTTGAACCACGTGGGAGAAGTTAAGTGGCTTAGGGCAACTTAAGTCATTGATCTTTATTTTTAAAAATTTATATAACCACACTACATAGTATATTGATAGACTACACAGTGTATCTGTATGTTATGCTGCATACATTGTATTTACTATCCACTGTATTTTTGTAACCATGCTCTGTTGTGTTGTGTGTTTATATAACCATCTCTACAATCTTCCCCACATGGTTCCCCACTTATGTTTTGGAGATAAACGTCCTCTCCTAGTCTGTTTTCTGAGCGTTGGCTGAGACCTTCAGAGAAACCCCCTCTGGAACGTGGAGAGTCTTAACTGACTCAATCCGCGCTGGCCCCGACCCCAGGGAAAAGTCAGATTTGCAGTTTCCTTTTTGGGAAATGCATGTCCGATCTCTTATCTTTACGGGACTTTCGGAAAACGTAGACAGCTTGATGGGACTCCCGGTCATCAAGTGCCAACTCTGCTGATAGTTATAAAAAAAGCTGCCATGTGGAAAGGGGGACTGGGAAGGCCAGCTGACTGGAGGAAGGAGAATGGCCTCAGCAAGGCCGAACAGGGGCAGCCGCCCCCGAGGCCAGGCCGCCGGCGACCCCACCCACGGCGCGTCCCCACCGCCCCGGCGGCCGGCCGGCTGACCTGGTCGAAGTAGATGGTCATGGTGCGGTTGCTCATCTCGGACGGCTCGTGGTTGGTGCTGCGCGTGGCGGAGAAGGCCACCTTGGCGCTGCCGGAGCGCACCGAGATGCCCAGGGACGAGGTGACCGCGCCGTCCGCCGACGGGCTCGAGTCGCACACCACCAGGCACTTGCCCTCCAGCACGATGGGCTCCGTGTCGTTCTGCGCGAGCGCCGGGCGGCCGGCGGGCAGCAGCACCAGGAGGGCCAGCGCCGCCCCGAGGCAGGGCCCGCGGCCGCCCGGCTCGCGCAGCGCCCCCCGGCGCCCGGGCATGGTCAGCGGGGGGCCCCGGCCGGGCGCCGGCACGCGGGCTGCGGGGGGCGCGCGGGGGCGCAGCAGGGCCGGCGCCGGGGCCGGGCGGGCTCGGGAGGGCGCGCGGGGACGCGCGGCGCCGGGCGCGGCCTCCTCGGGTCTCGGTGCCCCGCGGCGGTCAGGGCCAGGGTCGTCCTCAGGGGAACGGCGCCAGCGGACCTGTCGGGCAAAGAAGCGAAACCCTCAGGCTGCGGAGGGAAGGTGTGGGCAGGGGCGCGGGGGGCGGGCACCCTCCCCGATGGGCAGGAGGGCAGCACGGGTCCTGGGCGCGAGCCGGCGCGGGTGAGGGGCGCGCGCTCCGCACGGCCTCGGCACTGGGGCGGGTCGCCGACCTCCGGGACGCCGTCCCCGCCGCCCCCGCCCGTCCCGCCCAGGGCGCAGCGGCGCGCAGACCCAGGCAAAGAAAAGACCCACTCCTGCGTTCCCGCCCTCGTTGCAGCGGCATTTTCTTGAAAGCCACACCAAGGGATCGCTTTTCCTCTCTGCGCTCTCCCTTCCACCCGCTATTTTCCCATCCTGGAGGTTTGTAAGCAGACCACTCGGTGACGATCTTACCCCTTTTGCACCCAAAGAACAAACCCTCCAGGAAGCTCCTTAGGGTTTGTAAGACCGAGAGAGGGAGGGAGACGCTCAAGCCGAGCCCCCACCTCCCCGCCGTCCCGCAGCCGCCCGACCGCGGGCAGAGCCCCCCAGGCGCCCCCGGCGCAGGGCCGGAGCCAGGAGGGCGCGCCGCGTGGCCGTGCTTCCCGAGCCCGGCTCCTGCCCCGGCCTGGGAAGCGGCCCCGCAGCTGTCCGCTAACGTGCGCCCCGGTTGGCGCTGCCCCCGGCCCCGCTCCCCCGCTGAACACGGCCGGCCCTTTGAGTACCCGGCCCGGCCACGGAGGGCAGAGGGGCCTCCTCGGTGCCCGCGGCCTCCGGCAACTCCTGCAAGTCTGCCTAAGAGGGAGAAGTTGTTCCCCGACGAGAGGCCGCTCGCCGCGCCCCCGGCGCTCAGGGACTCCCACCCTCTCTTGCTCTCTCCCCGCTCGGAACGCGGGTCCTCATTAACGTCCACGCGGCAGTGCGATCAGGGAGCCCCGCGGAGGGCAGGGCGGGCCGGGGTACCTGGAGCGTCCATGAGGAGCGGGCGCCGCGGTCCGCCCAGTTGCTCTGCTCGGAGGAGACGAGCGGGGGCTGGCGGGAGGGGACGCCCGGCGCGACCCTGCTCCCCGCGCGCGGCCAATAGCCGCGCCGCCCCGCCCTGCCCCTTTCTCCGGGTACGCCCCGCGCCCTGCGCCGGACCCGCGCGTCCAGCACCCCGCGCCCGCACCGCGCTCCCCGGACCCGCGCGTCCTGCACCCCGCGCTCTGCACCAGGACCCGCGCGTCCTGCACCCCGCGCCCTGCGCCGGACCCGCGCGTCCCGCATCCCGCGCCCACATCCCGCGCCCTGCACCCGGACCCGCGCGTCCCGCGCCCTGCACCCTGACCCGCGCGCCCGCACCCCGCGCCTGCACCGCGCGCCCCGGACCCGCAGGTCCCTTGCCCCTCGCCCCGGACCCTGCGCCCCGTGCCTCGCGCTTCGCACCGGTACGTTCCGCGCACCGCGCTGGGCTTGCACCGCTCGCGGCCGGGTGTGAACCTCCCCTGGGTCGGCAGCCTAGGGGCCCCCGGCACCCGTCCCTCCGCTGGGCCCCTCTGTACCGGCCTCCCCGTGCGTCTCCCGAAGGCACAGCCGAGCGCGGCGAGCGCCCCGAGGACCCCGCGCACTGCCCCCTCGCCCGCCCCGGGCGCGGCCCGCTCTGCGACCCCCGCCGCGCCCTGCGCCCAGGTCCGGCTCTCACCCGAGCACCCAGAGCGAAATTCTCCCAGACGCCTCTTTTAAAAATTAGGCTCCCTCAAAGGCACCAGTCGCGCTTCTTCTGGATTCTTTTTCTTTTCCAAATTCCTTCCAAGTCTTAATCCTGAATATCGTGTCCACTTTCATAATTAGGAGGTAACGCAGTTTTTCTTTTCCTTTTTTTTTTTCCTTTCCTTTCCTTTCTTTTTTTTTTTTTTTCCAAGAGGACTGGGATGGCGAGAAAAGCTTGGGATCTTAGTGGTTCCGGAATCTTCGGACCGGGAAATGTGGGGTTCGGGCAGGGATTAAGGAGGCGCCTCCGCCCGGGTTTCTGCGTCTGCTCCTCTGAGCCTCGGGCCTCCGGGAGCGCCTTGGCACCCGCGCTTATTTATTAAAATACCTGCTCTGAGCTCCTAACGACCTGGGAGACGCCGGGTTCCCGAGCTGCGCCCGGGAGCGCGGACCTGGAGTACAAGCACGGAGGTGGGGCGCCACCTACGGGCGCCGGGGCGTCCCTGCCGCGGGCTGGAGGAGCTGGGGAGTCCCAGGGACGGGGACGACGCTGGCTGAAGGTTTTCTTTGACCACCAAATGCAGCCCTGGCCTCTACCAAAACATAACGACAATAAAGGATCGTTCCGGTTTCCTTCAACACCTTCGCCCTGAGAAAATGCGCTCCTGCACCCTGCAGGTCTTTATTGCTCTGTCACCTCTGCCAAGACCATGCCTGCTCAGCCGGTCGTCATCGTCGTCGCACAGACCCCTGGGCTGTGGACTCCCGGCCTCCCTTAAACAAAGACAGTATTTAAATGTGCAGTCTCCTTTACAACCAGGTTTTTAAATAATTGCGCCCCCTGACTTGTATAGTCTGCCTCTGCTGATAGGCTGATAAAAAATAAACTGTGTGTCAACGGATGCTGTTCCAAAGAACAGAGCAAAAGTATTTCGTATTCCTCCAGACTACACACCGACACCTCTCTCCTGGAGACTGCAGCCAGCGTTCCGGTTGCACCCTGTAACAGGGGTCTTTTCAGGTAGGGAGTTTTCACAGCCTCGTTTCCCATCGGCTCTACATGGCGCTTCTTCCGATTTAGAGCTGCCACCGACTGGACTCACCTCTAAGCACGGACATCAAATCCACTTCCAATCAGTTCAGCCGAAATGGACGTGCAGAGGACAGAGACGAAGTGAAAACACAATTGCATTTATTATTGAGACAAAATATTTAGTACAGTTGTAAAAATGTGATTAAGGGACCTTCTGAGCCAAATGTTGCATACTTAACATGCAAAATAGTACAAAACAAAAGATAGCTCCTAAATCTATTATCCTGCTAAGGATATTCACTCAAAATAGGGACTTCACTTTTTTATAACATTTTTATGGCACGCTGGTTAGATGTACTGGACTTTGCCAGGAAACTTTCGAACTTTTACTACCATTTTTGTGAGTTAAACACAGTGGAAATTATTCATTCTTACCTTCAGGTAGTTACTTTATTCCAATATCTCATCAATTTGCTCATCTCATATTGCCAAAGTAAACACAATTCTATCCTTCCATCACAGAAAGCACTGATTCATAGGCTCACATAAATAACAAAGGAAACTACATCCATGAATGAAATATGAGGCCCTGACTGATAATTAGGCCACTTTGGGGATATTAATTAAGTGCAATACCTCTTATACATCTATACATCTTTAAGTAACACCTTTATTAAACATCATCTTTAAGTAACACCTCTATTAAACATCTCTCTTAAATGTTGTGCTTTAATCATTTCCTTTGACTAATACAAATGCAGACATAATAAAGCAGATTATTAATCACCACCTTGGGGAATAAAACCAAAGCTGCTTTCTGTATGGCAACAAAAATGTTTAAATTATACTTAAAAAAAGAAGCCTTTAATCTCTATAGTGAACTAAACTATGGAATTAGAGTAAGAACTATTCTTATATAATGGGAAAAAACAGGCTAGGTTTAAATTTAGGCTTGACATTATTCTTAGAAGGAAGTTGGTAATTGTGAAAAGTAGCAGATGGACAGAGAAATGGAACATTATTCCCTGATTGATTGATTGTTCTGTCTATAAGGAGATATGTAGGTAGTCTCTTTATACAGTGTGATGGGATTTTAGCCCATAAACATAACTCAAAAGATTTTCAGAATATAAGATTTGAAAGTGCAAATGTTTTCTAGTTATTACAGAGATTGCTTTTTGTGTCGCATTTTCATGTTACTAGTAATTGTTGCCATTACTACTAGGACGGTAGTAGGTAGAATATTCTTTTACATGTAGGGACATCCCTATAAACAATAACAGTATCAAGAATGCCATTTACTGAGCATCTGCTGTGTGTCAAATATTGCACCATTTTCTTTACCTAGGACATAGTATACAGTTTAACACCACAATCACCAGTGGTAGACAGATGGTCACATCAATATTCAGAGGGAAGTATTCTAATGTTTTTAAAAAAAAGTGGGAGGGGGAGGCTAGGATAATTCAAATTATCTTCCTTTCATTCATCTTAAATATTTATCTCTGATAGAGATAGAGCTTCAATTTGTTTTCTTTGGATAGAATCCATCGCTGAAGTGTATCTTCAGCATCCATTATAATCTTTTCTTGCTTCTTTAAACTAATCCATAATATTTATGATTTCTAGGTATGTGGTAAATATCATCTGTGTATTTCATACTTTTGGATATGAAGACCATATACATGCTTAAAAAAATAAACATTTTAAGCATTAATAAGCAAAAATAATTTTATTGGAGAATAATTGACACCCTAATTGCATATATTTAAAGCATAACTTGGGATGCTTAGATGTATATGTATGTGGTAGAATGAATACACCTCACACAGTGATCATAGCTAACTCTTTGGCTCTTTTATGTGGTGAGAATACTTAAGATCTACTTTCAGCAACTTCCAACTATACAATACCATATTCTTAACTATAGTCACCAAGATGTACATTAGATCCTCAGAACTGACTCTTCTTACAACTGAAAATGACCCTTTGACCTCCAGCACCCCACTTCTCCAGCCCTGGCAATCACCAGTCTATTCTTGGTTTCTATAATATCAGCTTTTTTTTTTTTTAGATTCCTCATGTAAATGACATCAGACAATATTTGTCTTTGTCTGGCTTATTTCCCTTAGCATAATATCCTTCATATTCATCC